GATTGACCATAGCATTTATATAATGTTGTATTGCAATACTACAAGTTTAAGGTTTGAAATAGTCAGTTATACCTGAATTGTCATGTAAAACAATAATATTCAGTAGTTAAAAAATCAATCAATCACAGCTCTCTAATATACACCAAATTCAGCGTAAATATGTGAGTGACACTATCAGAAAATAATAATACTCTTTCTACAGAATTCAACAAATTTGTTAAAAGTGAAATTATTGTCTGAGGCGCTAACATTTCCGAACATGTTAACCGAACATGCAGTGCAAGCAACTGTATGTGTAATGTAGATCTTGTGTGTCATCTTTTCTTTCCAACTGCTGCTACCACATAGCCAGTAAGCTATTTAGATATGATAAATGGAAGAAACTTCTATTTCTCTGCCCCTCTGAGTTTTTTAATTAACAGGCCAGATTAGGAGACAATACAGCCCTGGAAAGTGAACTTTCTGATTGTCTGAAAATCTAACTATTTATCTTTTAAACAGCAATTGTGGCACCAAAATGGAGATCTCTGACAATTTCTTTGAGTCTGTGTTGCCAGAGGTATACACTGACATGTATTGCATTCAATCAGTGGAGCCCATAGAACCTCTTTCTCTTAAATCACTAATTCCAAAGTGAGAGTTGTTATTGCTGGTAAAATGGACAAACATGTGGCCTAGCATCAACATTTATTAGTATGGTGCCCATTGATACTCATAATAAAGGCACAGGTTTTCAGATAGCATGAGAAGTTGAGAAGTCGTGAAATGGTTGCTTCTGGAACTTCACAAACCTTTGCAGGTGATCACAAATATTATTAGCTAGCCAGCTATATAATTAAGCTAGCTAGCTATACATAAATAACTTGGTAGCTGTCAGTAATGATGTACCTCACATATGCCTGGTAAGTAAAGTTAATAGCTAGCTAATTTAAATGGTAAAGAATAAAAAGGAAAGCGTTGCTGGTTAGGTAACTGAAACTACCGGTTATGTAGATGTGACAAAATATGGATACAATATGACATGCTTTTTAGAGGAAAACAACATTAACAGTCACTCCACAACATTAAAATCCAGGCAAGATATTATCAACCAGTTTTTGGATTCAGTTTACTAAGTCAATAATCAAATTGTAAAGTGTGCTGAGAGACTGGTCCAGGCCCAGGCTAGGCAGTATTTAAGTGTAAATGTAACAAATACTAAAATGGTGTAATGGTGTGGCTGTAATAGTTTAACATATTGATTTGGTGTAATGGTTTGGTTGTAATGGTTTGAACGTAAAGGTTTGGTTGTAATGGTTTGGTTCTAATGGCCTAACTAGCTTTACCTGCTAGTTGGTACCTCGCCTAGCCAACCTTTGGAACTTTGACATGCAGTACTTCTAATATCGTTGACTCTGTATGGTGTTTCGCTTGTGTTCTATTGTACCTCACTTGTAAGTCACTTTGAATAAAAGCGTCTGCCAAATGAATAAATTTAATGTAATGTCAGATTTTAGCTGGGCCTGGGCCTGGACTAGCATGTTGATTGTATTGAGGTGTTGCTGAATCCAGGGTAGGTTCTACCCCAGAATTAGCTTCCCTATCGCCCCCCGCACCCAAAATGGACTGGCATCACTAGCTTTTGGACCGGGCTGAATGTACTGTTCTTGTGATTAAACTTCTTATGTTCTTACATAGTTTATTTTTATAATGCCTTCAGTAAACTGTATTGCAACACTGTGGAAATAGTGTGTTGTAGGATCTCTTAGCAGGGGCACTGGCACTAGACTAGTGAAAATATCCTCTGTGCTGTGCAGTTCAAACACTTGGAACAGAACATCTGAATATAGAAATGTTTTTCTGTAGCAGTGGACATCAATCTACAAAACTGTCAACATTTTAGCATTAGACTCAATAGTATAATCATGTATAAATATTTATAGGGCATAAAAATGTTTCATCACTCAAATTGTTGAAGTTGATGAAAGATGATGATTTTCACATAAATTCATCAGGAGTCGGGATTTATCTTAATCAGTTCATTAGATATTAATAGATCAGTTCATGGTTCCAACTCTTAGGCGTAAGTCTAAACATAGACTAGTCTAAAGTTTAAACATATCACAACAGGATTTATTATTCAGGTGGGCCATGAATGAACTACAGCTGTATGCTGCAATTGAGGCTGTAAGTCATGTGATTGCAGTAAGGTAAAATGTTCTCACTGGTGAAAGATCGCCTTGATTACGTATGTAGTATAACCCAGACAAGTATTTATTTTTGTTTCTGTAGGTGTTTTGTAACTGTTGACGTCACCTCTTTTCTTAGTGATAAGGATGACCGATCACAGTGGCTTGAAAAGAAAGAGTAAGCCTGATTGTTGTAATCCTTTTGATTGAAGGAAAGATTAAAGTTTGTTTTAAATTACATGAAAATAATATTGAACTCACCAAATAATCTGAGAATTATCTTCAATTACTGTTACTCACCTGCTGTTCCCACAGTTTCAGTTGTTTCTTGTTTTCTCACATCGAATGTTCAGATAAGTCCTTAGATAACAGATTAAGCAATTAAATTTGGCATTTTCCCAGGAGGATGGAATTAGACTTTAGACATCAAAGCAGATTACAGGACTTCATTTTGGAGTCGTGAACACACACAATGCAGAAGAAGTGAGCAGCAGTAGAAAAAAACAAGAGTAAAAATTATGCAATTAATATATCAACACATGTTGACATGCTACCCTTGAGCAAGGCACCTAACCTGAATTGCACTGCACAGAATATATCAAGCTACATCAAGGAGAACAGTGTAAACTGGAATCTTGTGTAAATTGCCCTGGATAGAGGAGTTTGGCAATCAAATAAAAGGCAAATGCACAAAATTCAGAATGTTCTCTAAACATTAAATTGTGAAAGTGAACTCTCCTTTACTGAAATCTATAATGGTAACAAGTAAATTTGAATGAATTTTTCTGTTAATATTCAGTTTTAAATGACTCATTGAGCAGTTTTGTAAATCACACATATTGTAATCTGTTATGGTTTCAATGACTTTTGTAAACAGAAATAATCTGCTCTCTATTACAACATGCAAGATGTTAAGAAAGTAGTCTATGAGAATGTCTCTGTCTCTAGAAGTTATGCATTTATAGTGATCCTTTGCCATTTATGGTTATAAAGTGGTTAGAAACCGTTTATATGCCTAAATGTGCTTCATAATGACTGCAAAAAAAGTTCATATCATCCTCAATTTATGATAGAATGATACCTTGTATAACACATTATGCCTGTTACCATAAACAGCAAATGCTTACAAATGCTTCTACCTAGTGTTATAAAGCATTCTAGATGTATTGTTATATTAGGTATTACATAACATCCATGATGGATTTAAAGACTTGACTGACTTTTGAGTTTTAATAGTTAACTTTAGAATGCACTTCTCGATTCAAATTATTTTTTGAGTAATTTCACTTGACAACTAAACAAAGCATGCAAGCCTTGTGAGGCAAAGCCGTGTGCTTTGTGGACAAAAAAAAAACAGAAATGATTAAGATCATTTCACAGCAAGCTGTATCATTCTGAGTGAGAAATTTGTGTGGGAAAGTTGTGATATGACTTGATATGACCAGGAAAATTAACCACATGTGTTTTTGACCCTTGATATACTGAAAATACACTATAACTGGGATGTAAGTGATAGTGTGTATGCTGAATGCTGCATTGATTGACTAACTCAGTCTTTGTTCCATTTCTTTCATCAACACAGAACACATCACAGCCAGATTTGGGAGCGAGGACTCGCAAAGCTTCGCGGTTTTCACTGTGGATGACGATCCTGGGCAAAAGATCGTCATGTCCGTCTTCATTCGCACCAGGAGACACGCGGGATTACTCCTGGTCCTCTCAAACAGCACCAGCCAGTACCTCAGGGTCTGGCTGGAGGGCGGAAGAGTGCAGGTTCAGGTGAACAACTCCGAGAGCCTCAGGGGAGAGCTGTTTGTCAGCGATGGCAGCTTCCACCTCGTGAGCGTGAAGATAGAGCACAACCAAGTGACCCTTTTCCAGTCTGCCCGCAAGCAGGGAACCGCCTCCATCCGGACTGTGCAGGTCCAGCCCGGGGACCTTGTTCACGCTGGAGGTTTGCCCGATCAACGTGCCTCTGCTGCCTTTGGAGGTTATTTCAAAGGGTGCATGCAGGACTTGCGGATTAACTCCAGGCGCCTGCAGTTCTATGCACTCAGCACCCCGGTGAGCTCCTATCCCATGGAACGCTTGGTCGGTGTCACACGAGGCTGCGTTGGTGACAACCTCTGTGTTGTAAGTAACAGAGCTTTCCTCTTCCCTTGCAAATCTCCCTGCTTACTTCTGCTAGAGATCTAACCATGACTGGTTTAGATTAACTATCCTTCCATTTACAAACAATTGACACCTTAATATATTGTATTGTACATGTTGTGCAAGTTTTGCGTAGAGATGAAATATCACACATTATAAATGTAACTGGTGCAAAGCAGTTTTCTTTTTTTTCTTTACCTTTCAAGACTTACAATGTATGTGGAAATTTCTGATGCAATCCCTCTGAAACAAGGCTGTGAACAATTTTTGTCTTTGTCTCATGAATCATTAACTGTCCTCTTCAGAAAAACCCTTGCCAGAACGGGGGGATGTGCTACTCCATGTGGGATGACTTCACCTGCACGTGCCCCCCAAATACTGCAGGGCGGCGCTGTGAAGAGGTGCAGTGGTGTGAGCTGACGCCGTGCCCATCTGCTGCGGTCTGCCAGCCCCTCACCCAGGGCTTTGAGTGTAAGGATTGCCCCCTTTCTTGTAACCATCAAGGAGGGAATGGCAGGGGCCAGGAAGACTGTTGTTGGGCATGCAGTACATTCATGAAACCGTGTGTCTGTAGCACCTACCTAAGATCACATGAAGACCTAGCTAGTTGGTGTGCACAATTTTTACTTTGCTAGTATGAGCATTTGTGATTGTAGTCTGTCAAATATATGATGTAGGGGCTCCTGAGTAGCACAGTGGTGAAGGTGCTTGCCTTGAGTGCAAGCTGAGCTATACAGCCAGGGTTAGATCACCAGCTTACGATCTCTGGCAGCCCACAGTGGCAGAGCAAATTGGCTTTGTTCCAATGCGGGTGGAGGTGGGTAGGTCAGATAAAGTGTCTCACCACTCTCAGGTAGGCCTACCCTGCAACTTGTCATACATCTGTTGGTTGCTCAGTTGACATCAGTGGAGTAATGGCTGTCCTCCAGTGAGTACCCAGTCTGCTGTAGTGCAGTCTGTGACTTAGACACAACATATATGTTGCTCACCAGTTTCTTTCCAGTAGTTTTTTATGTATTTGTTCTTCCTAAATTAAATTAAATTGCATAAGATATATATTGCATTAGATCTTCTAGTTAGGTGGGAGAGTTCAGAGCCAGTGTTATACTTCTTTGGATCACTTATGGGTACATGTTCAGTCTTCATAAGACCTTTATAAGATCTATAAGATAATATTTCATTCAGCAAGAAGAAAGTCTTTGCTGTCTTTGAGATGTTTCAGCTCTGTGATCTGCTGTCTGTCAGTGAAATAATAACACAGATAGGTATGTTTGCTTGTATTTGTGTTTAGGCATTTCCAATGCGACCTTTCGGGATGACAGCAGTGTGTTGTCCTACAAAGGCAATGGGAAGATCTTTCGTAATCTCACCAGCATCTCCTTCAGCATCCGGACCAGGAAGCGCAATGCTGCTATACTCCATGCCGAGAAGGGGCCCGAATTCCTCACGGTCTCTGTCCAAGACTCCCATTTGTTCTTAGAGCTACTGAGCGGGGAGAGCTCCTTCGCCTTGAGCCTGAAGAGCCACAGGCCCATCAGCGACGGAGAGTGGCACTCGGTAGAGTTCTCCATGGTGTCCCCGCAATCTCGCACCTCCGAGTGGACCATGGCTGTGGACGGCGAGGAAGAGCCGGCCGCCTCCTCACTCCCTGCAGGGAATGTAGACTTTCTGAAGGAAGGGGTGTACATTCTGCTCGGGGGCCTGGGCCCTGATGCAGTCTGGAACCTGGCTGGGTGTCTGAGCACAGTGGAAATCGGCGGAATTGCGTTGCCGTACTACGGGCAGTCCGAGGTGAGCCTCCCCAGACCCCAGGAGGAGCAGTTTGTCAAGACGTCCGCTGAGGCGGCCGTGAGCGGCTGCAGGGGAGCCCCCGTCTGTGCCCCCAGCCCCTGCCAGAACGGGGGCGTCTGCGAGGACCTCTTCAACCTCTTCAGCTGCAGCTGCCCCTCGGGCTGGGCGGGAAGGCGCTGCGAGGTCAACAGCGACAGGTGCGTGTCCAACCCCTGCGTCCACGGCAACTGCAGCGTGCGCTCCCTGGCCTACGAGTGCACCTGCGAGGAAGGCTACATCGGCGCCAACTGCGAGGAGGAGGTGGACCCGTGCAGGAACCACAAGTGCGCACACGGCGGCACCTGCCTCCACGGCATCAACAGATACTCCTGCCTCTGTCCGGAAAACTACACCGGACCCTACTGCACGTAAGTCAGGCTGACCGTATCACCACCCCACTCGACAGAACCTGCACTCAGGCAGTGATGTGTTCTGGATGAGACCAGATGAAAAACACAACGGAATGAAACTTTTAAAAGAAAATCACTTTATTGCTCTCCGTTGGCAGGTTCGTTACTAATTCATACTTCATGGCAGGAGGCAAAAAAGCAAAAGATGTTGGATCAGTTATAGTTATATATCATTGACAGCAGTCCCAGTTCACAATATTAAACCTTGACCTTTAAACTTTTTTTTTTAAACATATTCAAAATGCGTTATTCATCCATTATTCAATGTGATTTTAGGAATGCAACTGAACAGTATTTCCTTAAAAAGACACCAGCAACATCTTAAAAATGAAACTAGAATAATCTAGGGACAGATTTGTTTACCACAAATTACTGTTATATACATGCAAATTCTGTAAGTTTAGGATTTTATTATTGAAGTGTTTGAAATGGAAAAAAATGTTAATTCTGCGTCTGTTTAAATGTTAGGCTTCCTCTAAATGTCACAAAGCATGGGAATGGGTATTACTTTCAAACGCGAGTTCAGTGTTGGCTCATCTGTCGCCACTGAGACATCCTCTCCTGTGATGGCACTGATTTTGTCTTCGCTTGGATCTGTAGCATGCCTGGAAGCACTGTCTGGGGAATGGCTGCAACCATTTGTCTAGTAAACACACATTTCTCTCTGTTGCTTCATCACACATGGTGAACAGAGCCCTTTGAACAAGTCTGACTGTGCTGTGAGGCGCAATGTGCATCCTGTAGGTAGGAATACCGCAGGAAAAGTTCTTTCTTTTGTGTCAGAATAACGCTGCTTTCTTGTTTTGTTGTTTCTTTTTCTATTCAGTCTTGAGGTTGAAGAAGTTCCTTGGTTCATAATCAAACATATGTAAGTAATGTGTTTCCCTTTTGCCTTTTTTTTAGCAAACAATGTTTCTTCAGGCAGAGGTGTCCTCTAGTAGTGTCATTTTACCTACGTCACTGTCTTCCTTTGTCCTGCCACCTTTAAACTCTGTACTGTTTGCTGTGTATTTAGCACACTTCTCATACTAATAGGCTTTTAAAATTACAGTCACATGGCACAGATGGAGAACTGAAAATCCTGTAATAACAGACCCAACAGAGTAGCTAAAGTATGTTGTGCTAATTGGCTTGGGGAGAGACACATAAGTTTCTACCTTTTGGATTCTCATTCACCTTCTGCCTGAATAAAACTGCTAATTCTACAGAGATCTGGTTATGTTGTTTGTGCACATACTTTGCTTTTTATTTCTATGACAGACATAAAAATGGTTTCTTATAAATTACCTTTCAGTTGTAATGCCATTTTAAAAACCAATCTAATAAGCCTGATTGGCGCTTAAGCCTCTGTGGGTTACCGTCAACAGCACAGCGGATGACAGCAGTGACTCTCACGCGCTGTGTGTGGGAGACCAGCGCTTGACCCTGTGTTTGTGTGCCATTTCAGACGCCCCAAGCTCCCAGTGTCCATCTGTGGGAATGAAAAGAAGAACTACACCTGTTTTAATGGAGGAAATTGCACCGAAACCGGCATGATGTGCAACTGCATGCCAGGGTTTACTGGGCACCGGTGAGAACTTGCGTCTCTTTCGTCTGCTGCTCCCAAGAGCTGCCGTGTTGCAATCAGAGAACTGAAATGTAAAATAACGAGGAAGCTCTTTGAGAATGCCATGGCATTGCAATTTCCACTCACTTGTTTGATTTGTGTGTTTGACATCAACGTCACTATTTTCATTTTTACATTACATTATTGGCATTTAGCAGACGCTCTTATCCAGAGCGACTTACATAGGTTACAGTTTTTTTTTTTTTTTTTACTTTTTACCCATTTATACAGCTGGATATTTACGGAAGCGATTCTGGGTTAAGTACCTTGCCCAAGGGGACAATGGCAGTGCCCCACTGAGGAATCGAACCAGAAACCTCTCGTTTGCGAGTCCTGCTCCTTACTGCTACGCTACACTGCCGTCTCATATTTTTGCCTTTTCAGTTTTAAGTTGGCCTGTCTGATCAAACCAACCCAGACCCTGTGCTCTGCCATGTGTATTGCAGGTGTGAGCTGGAGCTGGACGAGTGCAAGTCCAACCCCTGCCTTAACGGAGGGTACTGTCGCAACATGATCAACAGGTTCCAGTGTGTCTGCGACATGAGCTACGCCGGCGAGGTCTGCCAGATCGACGTAAGCGACATTTACTTTTACGTGTCTATGCTGCTGTGGCAGAATCTCTTCCAGCTGCTGTCCTACCTCATCCTCCGGCTGGACGACGACCCAGAGGTCGACTGGGGGGGGAATGATGATTGAGGGGGTTAGGGAGGACGAGGAGGAAGACTACTTACTTACAGAAGTCTCCTTATAATGTACACAAGGTAGTGGTGAGGTGGGGGCTGACTTTACCCAGATATTATATTGTATGTTACAAACATCACTGAATGTCTGTTGTTTGAGGTCAGAATTGTACGACTACTAAACCACTACTCCTGTACTACTACCACTAAAACTACTTTAAAATAGCTTTATTGCTGTTTAGAACATAAGGATGCAATTTATTATGAGAGTACATAGAGAAAAATCACTAGACACCACAGTATGACCAATACCAGTGATCACATTTTCCAGTGTACTGTATTAATTTAAAACATAGCCTTAAATGGGTGCAAATAGCATACCTAATATACATAGCTATTGTAGCTATCAACAAATTAGAGGGCATTGCCTACTACTTTTGAGCTGAGCAAGGAGGCTGTGCCTTATGTTCATGTATTTTACATGTATATCTATATTTTTGTATAATGATTGTTGTCGATGGATCTTGACTCAAACAGCAAGAAGAAAATATTAGACGTGAATGTGATAAAATACATATCTAAAAGACATTTCGCTATTTATCATTCAGTGTTTGATAGGGGTCTTTTGTATGATATAGCGTGCATACTATAGACTACATTTGCATTTGAATTGTACATATTCTATCTGGTATCTATCTAGAGAGATAGCATTACCCATATTGCTAATGAGAAGAGAAAATAATAGCCAAGGAAAATAAGGTGAATAAAATCTGTTTTTTTCCCCAAATAAAATTTTGATATTTTGAATAATTTGATTTTTTTAAAAGTCATTATCGGTAGATCATAAGCCACCTGTGAATTTACCTGGTTGGAACTGAATTGAAAGCATTATTGTGAAATGAAGTCTTAAATTCTTGTGCGTTATATTACAGTGGATTTAAGAGACAAGCTGAAACTGTGTTTGCAACTCTCTGTTTGTGACGTTTGTAGATTCAAGGAGGGATAATTTGAATATGAATGTTACTAAGCCATTTAGAAGATGCCCTTATTCAGGGTGATCTGATATATCCACATATCTGAAAGTTTTTGTAAATGCGGCAGTTTTACATTGGCACTTCACTCTGTTGGGCTTGTTTCTCATACAAAAACTAACCAGGCTTACCATTTCATTACCATTCTCAGTAACATAACCATTAAAAATATGATTGTTGTTGTGACCAATTATTCTGACAGACAA